GGAGGGTGCATGGAGAGACAGCTGGACAAACAGCAGGGCGATAACCGATAAGATATGCAGTAAATAGCCTGTGTATCAGGGAAGGATGTGCAGTACTGATAAGGTACGACCCCGTGAGCCGTGTGTCCTGGGTTAGGGTTACTATCAATGTTCTGTATAAGCAGGGGACAGCAAAGGTGATCTTCACAGGCATCATTTACAGGTCAGCAAACCTTAAAGAAGCCATGATCGGGGTGAGGCGTGGTTCACACACCTGAAATGGAGGATCTCAAGGACATGTTCTCTATTATCATGCAGCAGTAGCAGCTTGTCAGCATTCTGGTTGAATTTAAACTTCTTGTCCAGAACAGCATAAATGAACATGGTGGGTCTTGTAGGGGAATGTTCCCTAAAGATGAGGCAGAAAAAGCAAGCTTTTCATAACTGTCTCCACCCGAACAGGCACACGTCACTGATCCATCCACACCCGAACAGGCACACGTCACTGATCCATCCACACCCGAACAGGCACACGTCACTGATCCATCCACACCCGAACAGGCGCACGTCACTGATCCATCCACACCCGAACAGGCGCACGTCACTGATCCATCCACACCCGAACAAGCACACGTGACATCAGCCTGAACAGCAGGCTAACTGAAGATGCCATGAAAGAGAAACTCACCGACTCCCTCTGGCATTGACTTCTCCTTGTCGCTTAATCTCCTCCGGCTGCTCCTTGGACTGCCCCCCTCGGTCTGAGCTTCTTTCCCTGGACTTCGTAGACAGCTGAGGATTCTTGCCATCACCCACCTTGTCTGAACCTGACTGTCCTTGGACCCCTTGATTAACCTGAGAGTTGTCTTGGGAATTCCCTGAGCCTTGATCTGGATGCCCAGGTAGTTTGTGCTGGTCGCTGTGAACGTTGCCTGGATCTTTCTCCCCTTGGTCTGACGCTGGAGTCTGGCTGGCTGTCACGCCGGTGCACTGGCCTGGTACTTGGTCTTGCTGAGTGGTATTAGTGGGGTCCGTTTGCGTTTGCTGAGTGCACAGCTCCACCGACGGGGTCTGGGTTTCCTTGTCCTTCTTAGTCACCCATCCGGCTTGGTCCTGTTCCTCCGTCTGCATCCCTGTGGTTTTCAGACTTCGGGTGCCTGGTTTCTGCTGCCTGTTCCCGTCATTCCTGGGCTGTCCATCCATTCTTTTCTTTTTAGCGGTCTTGGTTGGAGGAGTCTCCGTTTCCATCAGGGTCTTTTTAGAAGAAGCTGAGGTGGCACTTTCATCTTTAGCCTCCTGTTCCTTCATTTGTTTCCGTTTGTTTCTCGCTCTTCTATTTTTCTTTTTATGGGCTTGACCTTGACCTTCATCCTGGGGCTGTAAGAGAATGAAGAAACAGTTATGAGGTTTCTTTCTGAACGCCTGGAACCACATGTGACATCTCAGCACCTTCAGGTGGTTACACTGGGGCAAGAACACAACAGCATGGCAGCAGCCGTTTCAGGATTTCAACATTTATCTCAAGTTAGCAGAAGGATATTATGAGGAAAACATTTCAGGACAGTTACTGCTGTTATGCTGCTGTATGAAAAGAATTAATGATTTTGATAAGGGTCATTAAAGATACTTTACATCCACGTCCCGGTACCGGGAAGCCGGCTCCTCTCTCACCAGCTTCTGATTCTCTGGAGTTCCACGCCTGTTTTCCAGCACCTCCTCTGGTTTTCTGATGGACTCCTGCTTCAGTCGGCTCCTCCCATCATCCATAGCAGACAAATGCTGCTGCATTCCCTGTTTCCCAGAAGTGTCTGCCCCATCTGGGTCGGTCTCCATCATCAGCGGAAGCTTGTGGGGTCCACACTGCTGCCAGCATGCGCCTGGGTCGGCGCCTGGGTCGGCGCCCGGCTTCCGTGTGACAAGGCAAGTCCCAGAAAGGGGTGGGGGGGGGTCACTCTACTTTCTCTCTCCGTCTCTGCTTCCAGTTTTGAGAAAATCTGAAGATAAGATAATTGTAATTGATAATAATAAATGATGTGGGTGAGGGACAAAGGTTATCAGGCTCTGCCTACAGCACGTTCAGTTTCTGTTTCCTCGTGGATGTGTCTGACGTTTCCTTTCAGTTTCTGCATTAGGAGAAGTTTCTTCGGAGCCCAAGCAAAAGACATGTTTTGTATTTTTAGAAATACATTTACCAACATAGCATTTGAAGAAATGCCAAATGCAACCATCCATTTACTGTAATTGCTTATCGTGGGGGGGTCCGGAGCCTAAGAGCACAAGACAGGGAACGACCCAGGATGGGACACCGACCCATTGCAAGGGTACATTCACACACCATTCACAATTTGGTAACTCCAATTAGCCTCAGCATGTTTTCAGGCTGCGGGGGAGAGGACCGGAGGAAACCCCACGACGACGGTGGGAGAACATGCAAACTCCACATACATGGAGCCACGGCAGAGACTCGAACCCTGATCCAAGAGATGTGAGGCAACACTGCTAATGACACCATGCCGCCCTCAAACGTGAAATAAAAAGCTTAGTTCCACTTAACATTTAATTTCATTTCATGTGACACCCTATTAAAATAAAATGCGAATGTGACAGCTATATTGCCGTAAAACATACATTTGGAACATACATTTGGAAATCATAAAACGTGCCGACAGCGTGTACATTCGTGAGATAAATACCTGTATGCATGACTATTGGATAATACACGACGCAAATCAGCTTAACATAACGTAAAAGAATACCTAAGAAAATTCTAATGACACCTGCTGGCTGCTGCATTTCAAGAACAATTCAAAATACTTGAAAAGTATAAATTATAATTTCCAGTGATTCATAATTGCATTTTATGTACTTGTTTTTTAAAGTACAGAAGACGACGCCGATGGGTACCTGCTACGCCAAGCTGTCGGTCCAGTGAGTAACGCTGTTCGCTTCACAGAGCCGAACCTCAATGAACTAGGCGACTCGCCCCTTCAGGATCAAGGGACACTGACGAAAGAGTAAGTTACCGTGTGTGCTTATTCATAGCATAAATATAAAATGCAAACTCGACTTCGACATTTAAAAATCGCAGTGCGATATTAACTCCGATGTTGCGGTCTTTAATAAGTTACCGGGTATTGAATGAATATCCGTAGCTTTCTTTCCAAATGAAACCATTTTTCTGTCTCGTAGTAACTTGGAGTTGCGCGAATGTTCCTAACTCGAACTCCCAATTTCGGTTTCGTTTCAGCGTAAATCGCACGTACGAAGTGAAAAAGGGGTCGGCTTTAACGGTAGGTGGCGTATGATTTCTGTGCTGTCTTACTGTATCCCGCCTTAGACCCGAAGGGCACAGCTCAGTCTGGGCCGATGGGTTTGAGGGCCGGCAGAATTGGGGGAAACACACAAACACACACAACAAAAATATAACAATATCGTTTATTGAATGCATTTCTCTACAATTACACGATATTTACAGTTTCCAGAAAAAGAAAACGATACTTCATATAATTTTCATCGCCTGTAACATGTTGCCACCTACTGGCCAAAAACTATACTGCTTTAACTGTTACGTAAATACATTTTCAAAATAAACAAAAATAGAATGATATATGCTTAGTTTTCGCCAGGCCATCACTCAAAAGCAAAGGGAAAATCCAATACGTAAATTTTGCTATAGAAACACACTTTAGATGGACCACTATTTATGGGCTAAAGCATAAATAACTAAAAGAGAAAGTTAAGATAAAAACATGGATACATAAGGCAATGATGCGAAGACAAAAAGAGTGAAACGTGTTTCCAGGAAACATTGCGGCAATGTCTGCATCCAGGATGCTACAAGGTGCTCTTCTAGTGTTTGAAAGCCTTTCTGTTTGGGCCAATGCCACCTTCGTCAGCTATAATGCAATGGAATTAGGTACGGGACTGGGGGGGGGGATAAAGGGCGGAGATCGAGGTGAGAGTCCAAAGCTCAGGCCTGGGGGGTCTGTACCTTCCTCAAAGGATTTTGATGCATGACCCTGCTATTGCGTGCAGATTGCCTGGGCCTTTCAACCATTAGCTCCTCCCTGGATGGTGGGAGCACCTTCTCCGGTGGCGGACGCTCTGGCCTGGGGGGGGCCGGGGCCCTGCCTGCCCGCATGTCATCCACGAAGGCCTCCACCCCCTCGAACTTGGTGGTGAGCTCTCCGAGACGCTCCTTCAGACTGTTAAACTCCTTATAGAGATCACCCAAGGCATCAGACAGGGGCTGGATCCTGAGGGGGGGGGGGGGGGTCAGAGGAAGTGGAGGATTAAGCATCAGCCAGCGTGTTCCAGGATCGCTGGAGACCATCAACAAAAAGGCCAACGGCACCAGCGTTCCAGCAGGAGAGATTCCCAACAACTTCCTAACACTGTCTCAGCACAACGACAGGGTCCTCGCCCAGTGGAGGCCCCTGGATCGATCTACCTGGAGTAGTCGGGCAGGACCATGCTGTGGTCGTTGAGAAGCAGCTCCTTGACCTGCGTCATGATGGCAAACTTCCAGTTGTCCAGCACCAAGGTGAGGTTGGAGCAGCCCTTAGTGTTGACCTTCTCCGCTTCAGAGGGACCACAGAAAGCAGCGAGGTTGGCACAGGGCACGCCTGGCTCCAGCGACCCACACTCACTTTACTTGCAAGTGGGAGACATGATGTTCTGTCTCTCTCCGTTTCATGCCTGAACATGACTCCGTTTCTGGCAGCGCTGTTCGCTGGCCGGGGAAGTAACTCCCAGGAGAGCCATGCTGACATCACTCTCAGTGAACAACTAAAATAACAACTAAAATTACAAGCTTAACAGACCCATTAGGGTACAGATACTAGGCTTTACTGCTTCATTATATCACCATTTATACTTTGGGATACTTAATGCAATGCAGGCAAAACACCTGATTGTAAGGTACAATAGCCTGGCCCTTAAGGAGCTCAGAACCTGTAGCTAGGTCCCTCACCGTCAGTCCTGTAGTCCCACTCTGCATTCTGCTTCTGTCTCCTCTTCTGGGCCGTACTCAGCACCAGCAGACCCAGCAGAAGTAGCACCAGCCTCATGCTGTCAGAGCGGAGACACAGAAGGACCATCAGAACCGGCACTCATTCACTCCCATTAAAAATATTCCTGCCCCATGAATAAAATGAACGAGGCTGTTCACCTACAACATGTCTTCATGTTATATGAAATTATTTAGCAGATAACATCACTATTATACCAGGATAGAAGCAGATCGTTAACCCTAATCATGCACAGGAATCAGTTCTGAAAATTATGTAAAATATCGATCCATTGCCTACAAGGGTACAAAGGTTAATAGTTCAGTTTTAGTCTATAGATTTTTGAAGAATAACAATCTAAACACTAAATCTAACAGAAAAATTTCAAGAGAAGTTGCAAATTCTAGGTAAAAAAAAAAAAAGGATAAATACCTGCTTTGGATGGGACCCTTCCACTAATAATTCACCGGTGGTAAACTCAGAAACTTCTGTGAGCAGTAACTGGTTGGCTGGCTTAAATATCAGCCTTTGGAATGTCAGCCCCCTGTCCTACTCTGTGGTGGTGTGGGGGGGGGGGTTGGGGGTTGGGGGTGTGGCTTCAGCACCCTGGTGATCATCCAGAGGGTTTGTAGCAAATTAGGTTCCAACCATTTCCTCACTATGGCCTCTTTACCTCTGGCAAAAAGGCATGATGTGTACAGTGTATGAAGAGGCTTTTGCCCAGAAGGTGCCACACACAGGCACAAGCTTCTCCTTACCCACAATCCCCCAAACATGACCACATACACAGACGGGATGCCCACCTATATGAGAACACACCCCTCATTAGTCCTCTCCCGGCAGCCGAGATGATTACGGATTACTTAAGAACGGTGTGCCTGAGGACGCGCTCCACGTCCCGCTGGACCGCCAGGTTTCTGCTGTGTCCACACGGCTTGGCAGGTCTCTCCCCGTCCTGCTGGTGACTCCACCCCCCCAGGAACATGTGTAGTGCAAGAGAGTGGAAGCGTTTGATGTTTCGGACTCGGTTCCAGGAGAAGCATTCCTGCTTTCTGCCGTGTCGGCCTGTCGTCCATCTGAGGTCCACCGCACTGCCAATCAAGAAACCGTGGCACATGCCAGCACACGCTACCGCTTTAAAAAAGGGGAGAAGGAAGGACCGCAGCTTACAGTGAGCAGATCGCCCTGTAGGACCGCAGCTTACAGTGAGCAGATCGCCCTGTAGGACCGCAGCTTACAGTGAGCATAGCGCCCTGTACGACCACAGCTTACAGTGAGCAGATCCCCCTGTACGACCGCAGCTTACAGTGAGCAGATCGCCCAGTACGGCCGCAGCTTACAGTGAGCAGATCACCCAGCTTGCTTAAGGGAGCTCTCCCCTCTCATCTGTTTTGACTGGAAGGCCTTAGCATAACTTCAGATGATTTTGGTGAGAATGGGTTTGTCACTGGCTCTGACACATTGTGACCCCTAGTTATCACGTTCTGTGCCAAAGGAGAACAGCAGTAAATTACTGTCAAAGGTGCATGGATTGCAAATAAGTAAACACCCATTCCGACTTCAAAAAAACTTTAAGACAGAACCTGCTCACACTGGAAGGTCCAGATGCTAGAACATTTTCTTTGTTAAAAAAAAAAAAAGGTTCTATTTCCATTCAAATAGAGTGCGAGTGCTGTTTACAGAGGAAACCAGTGCGAGGGCCAAGGAGTGCAGCCAACTAAGACGGGACCAGGGGTGTGCACTGTACCAAAACAGAGCAGGGGGAGTTTATGGGTTCCAGATAATGACAAAACCCTCAAGGTTGGAGACAGAGACTAACATTGTATAACAGGCTCAGATCCAGCAACGTGGTCGGATCTAAACCAGGACTGAAGGCCATCGTAGGGGTGCACAACCCTGGGAAAACTCCTGATGTGCTCTTTTGGCACAAAAACAAATGAAATTCCCACTCTTCACTGGCACTGCCCTAATTGGCCCATAAAACATTTATTTCTGTTAGACTTTACATTTTTAAATGGCAAAAACCACATCAACAACAATCGAACAACAGTCGTGTAACAATCCAAAACCACTGCTGACATCTTGTCAAAGCTCATGCACTCGTGAAAAAGCTCCACCACTAAATTAATCTGCTGTCACGATCACGGTTGCTGGCCGCATCCTGAGATCACGCTGCTCGCAGAGACGGGAAGGAGGAATTCAAGCCAAAGTGGGCTTGTTCGCTTGGTGTGTAGCATCCAGTGCTGCAGCAAAACAGCAGGATGAAGCGTTTATTTCGGAGACATGCCATCAGTCTTGGTCGGACAGTATATGTTCAGAGGGCAGGGAGTTTAGTACCAGGAGTCAGAATGGACACTCAAGACGTTATTGTTCAAAGTCAATATTTATTGGGTACGTTCAAATGCAGATGGAAAGTCATTTCCTTAAGTATGAAAACTGTGCAGCGAACATCCAGTTTTAAATACTGTTTTAACCTGGAATGAGTATTTTAAATTATGTTTCCCATTCTACAGCAAAGGCAGCGTGGGGACACACACACACGCACGCACGCACACACACACACACACACCGATGACAGCATCCTCGGGCATGGCACCGCTCATCTGCTGTGCTCCCCACACCCTCCTCCAGCCCAGCCAAACCCCTCCCCCTCTCACAGGTGCACAACACATTGGACCAACCGGAAAACAAGGACCATCAGTGCGGCCCACTTTGTTCCTGAAGGATCGCTCATTCCTGACCTCTGACCCCTGGCCAGATCTAACACAGAAATGGACCGAAAGTCTTTGAAGTCAACCCCCCCCCCAGCAGAAGATCAACAGGAGTAATTGAGAGATGGGGGGGGGGGTTCAGGTTTCTCCCCAACCCCAAATTGATCAATCAACAACAGAACAGCAAAACAAAGAAGATAACGATCAAGTCTTTGTGATACAAACAGGCGTAAGTGGGGAGAGCCCATGGGGCGGGGGGGGGGGGCCTCCAACTGGCGGTTTGTTACTGACATAGAGTGGGGAATAAAACGGAAGGAATTCAGTGATGCCACCCCAAGCCAAAACTACCGGCAAAGATGGAGCCCCCACTTCCATGACAGAGCGGAGCGCCAAGCCCGTCCCGCGGCACTGAGAGCCAGCCCATGCGGGGAACCAGGAGCCACAAACCAATCAAAACCACCCTGCAGAAATGAGATGGAGCTGCAGGCTGGCCAGTGGCCACCAGGGCGGTGACACTCACCGCCAGGGCTGGCACCCCTAGAGGGCCACATCCTGGCGAGACACTGCAGTACCCTTGACCACATCAGCAAGGTAGTCTCAAAAACAACACTGCTGACTAGAGCTGGGGAAAGAGGAATAATCTGAGTGAGGGAGGAGAGAAAGAGAGACCCTTGCTGAACTGAACGAGCAGCATCGCAGGATGGAGTGGCCAATGGGCAGGGGGCAATGGGGCAAGCACGGGAATCTTTCTTCTAAAGCAAAGAAACCAAACAAGAACTAAACCAATTTCCATAAATAAGAAAAAAATGACGATAAAAAGCATCATTTGGAACTAATTAGTTTGTGTATTTACACAATGGAGAGAGTGAAATTAGGCTTGTAACCTCTAAAGTGTCGGGGGGGTAATGGAAGATAATGGAAGATCCCGATTTGCCCCACAGGAGGGTGGGGATGCAGGTGGACATGAGTGCTAAACTGACATCTTCCAGACATCATTCACAGACACCAGTGGCATGGTGCTGGCAGCGCCCCCTGCAGGACAAAAAGGCAGCCTGTGAGGTGGGAGAAAACAGGAACTGGGTGATTTGAGAGGAAAAGGGTCAAAGGTCAAGGGAAGGAGGGTACAGAAGACAGCACTATAGCTGGTCCCAGAGCGATGGCGACATCTGTGATGAGTCTGGGCCCCGCCCATGACCGCATGACTCCGCCTTCCCGATAGCCTGGGGAGGAGCTGGGAAAGGGGGCGGGGTTTAGCTGCGAGGCAGGCTGCACATCTCGCAGAGCTCGGTGCCTGGCTGGTTCATAAAGGTGCAGTGCAGGCAGGACCACATGGCAGACGCTGACGTGGGGGCGGAGGGGCCGCTCATGGCCCCGTAGTCATGGGAACCCGACGGCTGCCCGCCCACTGTGCCTGCAACAGAGGGAGGGAGGTTATTAGAACAAGACAGCAGGGGCTGAAGCATGTCAGATATGGGGGCTGAAGTGTATTAAGCTGGATAGACGGTTAAATGCAAGCAGGTGGTGAAGAAAGCGGACTGACGGCTTTGGGGCAGAGAGCCTGCCAGCCAGGAGTGGTCGAGTCAGTCGCCCAGACAACAGGTGGGGCACCCCCTGGCTCCGCCCACCCACCCGGATCCCTGAGGCACTCACTGCACAGCTGCTCGATGGTCGCCCACTGCACCGACTTCTTCCAGGTCCGAGCCAGCTCCTCATTGGGGGTCTTCACTGCATCCAGCAGGAGCCCGATGCTATCCTGTATACGAGGGAGCGAGAGCGACCCTTGAGACGTGACCCCAAAACGTACTGAGGGTGCTGGAGGGGCGGGGGGGTGTGTGTGGACTGTTCGACAGATGAGAAACCAAACATGTGAGAAGCAGAAGTGAATAAACCGACGGCGCCGACTCGCTCCCATCTGGGGCGAAGAACGCAAGAGAACTGATAACAATTATGTGTCCCGACAGGAATCTTGCTGAATACTTAGAGCCGCATACAGAGAAAGCAAAGTGGGAAACAAGGAGACTATTTCGAACACGGGATCGAAGACCGTCGCCCCAAGACAGGTAACAGTAGCCAATGACGTGAGTGAATGAAATCCGCACTGCGTCGGACCCGGCGCCCGGGAAATGCTGGCGGGAAGGACCGTGCCCGGCTCTCCGAGCAGACCTCATCCTCCAGCCTACCCCTCACCGCCCAAAGAAAGGAATAACCACCCCCTCGAGCAAACAGGCCAGCACAGGCAAGGCGGGGGGGGGGGGGGACTCCAGAGTGGTTAAGAGCCATTAACACAGAAATAATGACTCCCTGCTTCGCTAACTTCTCAAGTCTCCTCCAGCTCAGTCCATAGCCGCAGCTCAGCCAAGGGTCAAAGAGTCCTGCTCTGTCCTACATAAACACATCGGCCCCAACACCAAGGCGACAGACTAAGCCTCTTAGCGTCAAACGGAATGGAACAGAACACTGACGCTTGATTCATTCCAGTGGGGAAACTTGTCTATCTTTTGCTTTCCATGAGACAGAGACACGTATACAGACGACAGTAAGTCTGGGGGTCACAGCCAGCGTGCAGCGCCTGTGGGGGGGGGCAGGGCCGCACTCAGGGGCCCAACAGCAGCATCAGTCTACCGGCCTCAGGATTCGAAGGGGCCTTCTGATCGTGGACGCAGAGTACAGCAGCCCCTCATATACGGGCCAACGACGGAGGAGAAAGTACAGTACAGCTCACATCAGATGGAAGGAAATGTGCCCAAACCACTGGATAATGTCTCTACTGTAAGCAGTTATGTTGGAGGGGGGGGGG